AAAATAGCTTCAAGCAACAACTCTTCTTGGTAACACCCACCGGACGCTGCTTCACTTCACATTCAAAGGGATTTTCACTGACTAAATGGGTCAAAATCGCAAGGAGTAGAGGCTGCTGCAATACACCGCCCTGCGCTGTTATCTCTGTGTAGCAGGAGCCGCATGAGCAGTGGGGAGCTGAGCACTGCACTGTTTTACTGACAGGGAGGAAAAGGAGGTTGACACCAACAAAATAAAAGTCTGTCCTGGTGCTGTCACACCCTTGTACAAGCATGCAGTTATCTGCAGTCGAAATGGTCAAGGATTTCCTGCATTTATGCCTCGATAAATGCAGGAAATGATTGATTTTAGTGCAGGGCAAATGTTTTTAAGTTCTCATTGAAACATGTATTTATGCATTACTCACGTGGAATAGTTTCTTTTTGTTCAATTTAGAGTGAAATGTATCAGTTTCTTTTATTTAGGAAGGGTCCTAAAACCTTGTCTGGGATCCTTTACAGCATGGGAATAAACAGAATTAAGGATGTAAGCTCACCAAGGTGTCCCCGGTGCTATTCTTCACCCTGGTACCCAAGTAGTCATGAGCCATTTCTTCTTCTGACTTGATTTGCTGTACGAGGCGCTTTGGATAAATGATCTCGGTTGCAGTGTCCCCACTCTCCGCCCGGCCCACTGGGGCAAACCAGTCCCACATGCTTCCATCCTGCTCCAGGTTCCTGTCAACACCTGTATGTAATACAAGAGGAAAACTCTCACAGTGCGTTTCCACTAGGCACTGCAAGTTAGCAACACAAGTGAACCTGCCCAAACAGAGCAGCGGGGATTTCTTTAAGGATAAAAAAAAAAAAAGCACAAAGTAATGCACATTTAAAACAAATCAGCCTGTGAGCGTCTTCATCTGTAAGCTCACGGTTTGGTGACCTAATTTAACAGTGAACATTATTTATCCGTAATAGTATTTTATAAAAATAGTGGATATAGCTAGATGTGCACGCTCTGATGGAAAATAATTAGAATACTTGTCATTACTTAAATTATCTACAATAGGGATGCTCATATAAGCCTGCATATTGTGAGTATACAAATGAAAGGCTCACAAATCGTCATCCCAGGGCAATAAAATGTAGTTATATTCTAGTGCTGTAGATGTTTCTTCCTAAATGCTCGTCTGAAATGGTTATGGATACGTTATAGGTAATGAGGCTGCAGTGGGAATGTGTTGATGCAGCAAATTGTGCTTTCAGGCCAGTGGGCTTTTTGGCACCGAGATCCCGCTACAGTAAAATTACGAGCCTACACCGGGGTTCGAAAAGTGCTGTTCACGGTGAAAAAAAGAGTGGATGCAAAGGAAACGAAAGGGGTTCTCCCTCTCTCGATCCAAACCCCCTCGCTCGCTTCTCTCTCTCTTACCTGAGACTGCAAGCCTCTCGCCCACTGCAGCAAAGACCGTGAAGCACCACACCGCCAGCATGATCTTCACATATTCCCCCGGATTACAGCATGGAGAGCCGCAGGATGTCACGAACCCGGCAGACGGAGTGAAGAAAAGACTAAAAAAATCACACAAATGATGGCGAGGATCCAAAATCAATCTACTAAACATCTGACGATGTGCCTCCTCTCATCTCTCCCCCTCTCTATCACTCGCCCTCTCAGCTCCGGTCAACACTGCTACAGAGAATTTGGATTTGCATATCAGAATGATGAAAAAAAGAAGTGACAGGCCTTTGTCGGAGATGATGGATACAGGCCTAGAGAGTGATCAGTTTAGAAATAGTGTGGAACGGGAGAGTGCGCACCGCGGAATCATAGCTCCGCAAGCCTGCGCGGGTGCGTATGGGTGTATGGATGAGGTTGTATGTGTGTGTATATGCGAATCTGCAGTATGCGGAAACGAAGGGATGGGAAACCGAAGAGCAATGCGTTGAGTCTGCGGTGAGGAGGACACGTGGGACGCTGGTACCCTCCTTCATCCCGAGCTGCCTCCTCCTCCCGTTGCCATGCAGCTCTGCGCAAGAAGAGGATGCGACAGCCCGCCAGCCGGAGAAAAGCTCGAAAGGGGATCAGGGATGGGCAGTTCATTCATTTTCTGAACATGAAGGAGTTAATCAGGAGTATCCGGGAAAGCGTTGACATGAAGATCACAGCTCTATAGGGGATGAAAGTGGTCCCGACCGAGGAGAGACATTATGAACCCAAGACACCCTCTGACAAACCGGCTACAGCAGAGGCCATACTGTTCACACCTTGTTTCTGCCTTAAACAGCTCAAACTGTTCAAGATATTCTTACGATTCATTTTTATTCATTTCAACACTGCAAGTTATACCAAATGCCATAAAAATGAACTTAATCACAGGGATCTCCAAATGTTTAACCTGTTTGAATGCATCCTGCTGTTTTAACATTTAGAAAAATCACTGTTTTTGTAATGAGAAGCTGGTTTTCACTTTAAGAGCCAGTGTTACATTCAGCTTATAGGTCTGGAAATATGTAGCAAAAGAAGAAAACGTAATATTAATGCTGGAAAAAAATGAATGTTACATGTGGTCCACTGAGTACTTACTTAACCACAGCAGAGCGGCTAAGTGAATATGCACGACTGCTACTAAAGTGTAATATCAGGGACTGATTAAGTCTTTTTATTTGAATCAAGCATCACACAGAGCATACTGCCCAAACACACTGCTGTCAGTGAAATGAAAAACTCCAACTGACCACTGTGAATGTCCCTACAAGAACATTACATGATCATGTTGACTAAAGTAACTCTAAAGCTTTTGTTGGCCCCAGTGATCAGTAAAACATGCTGTGTTCAAAGGGATGTATGAGTTTAACTGCATATGACTCCTAATCAGAAGCCACTAATGGAGATGGACACTGAAACCTGCAGTCTCTCTGCTGTCTCTCACCTGCTGGGTTTAGCTTCCCTGGTGCAGCCCAATCTCAGCAGCCATCCTATAATACATCAAACTAATGGAGAAAAACTGCACCGGCACCCCCTCTGAATATTTCATTTACCTCCCTTTGAGACAAGCAGAGAAGGAGAAATAGCAGGAAGAGATGGAGGTGGGAGTATCAGGAGGAATGCAGCATAAGCTAAAGATGCTCCTGCCCTGCCAAAATAAAATAAAATATCATAAAATAAAAAAAATAAAATAAAAAAAAGATGGCTGCCAGAATATTGCAGTTCTAAAACTTTAAACAGACACTGACTTTAGTCTGCACTTTTCTGCTGGCTTTCTGATTCAAACACTAAAGTCTTCACTGTGATCTGGTAAGTGGTCACATAGTGCTGATGCAGTATTCTGCAGTAAGACAGCTGAGTTGCAAGTAGTGCAAAGGTGGCTCTGTGAGCAGGGATGCAGTGGTCACACTGGTTTTAGGGTGAATATAAAGGATATGAGGAATTCCATTTTTTTAAAGATTTCAGGTTACACTTAAATGTAAGTAATGTATAATAATCACAATCTTGAGCCCTCTTATATCAGAGCTTGACAGAGACAACTCTTCTCAAGCAGCCAGTCCTGAATCAAAACTTGTACTATAGACAGTCGATGTTGATATGTCACAGTAATAAAAGCACAGGTGGAATCACAGTAAATCAGCATCCATCACTATACACCTCCCATACATGTTATATAAAGGGGGCTTCCTTCTGTAGCATATAAATGTTTGAAGTCTTGTTAAGCTGTCCAACACCTTCTACTAAAACAGGGAAAAAGTCTCAACCAGCTTCTACAATGATTCTCATTAAAAATCCAACGGACGTGTTGAGAAACAGAAGGCATTTGTTTCAGAATACAGGACATACACAAGTAAATAAATGGGAATACCCAAATACTTTTACAGTTTGTGCATGAATCTGAATGGCAGAGCCAACTGTGATAGAGACACACTACCCTCTG